AGGTAAGAGTGCTCCCAACACCAAGCCTTTGTGGGCCTTGGTTGAGATGCCCTAAATACTATGGGGGTATTGGCTCTCACCTTTTATCAGGGGACAATTACGAAACTTACCTCACAGGTCTGTGCAAAGGATTACATGCATCCTCCAGGTACAACTGTGTGTCTGGTGCAGACGTTTCAGCCAGCAGACAGTGAACGTTCCTTCCCCTCCCCACCAGGGACTGTGGATTTCAGCTCTCCCTGGAAGCTTCCTTTAAAAGTTCACTGCATCTTGCTAGTGCAAAGCTCATAATTAACCTGGAATGGAGTTCTTATTTCTGAAAAGTAGAGCTCTTAGGTATGCATTCATCTATTAAATTACTTCAGACTTTCTTTTTGGTAGAAAACAGACACCTGCAGCCAGAAGGGACTTTAAAAATGTTTAGCCTTCCTTAGTCAAGGGCAGTGGGGCATGACTGCAGTTCTAGAGGCTCAGGAGGCTGAGGTAGAAGAATCACCAAGTTGAAGGCCAGCCTCAGCAACTTAGGCCCTATCTCAAAGTCTCAAAGTTGGAAAAAAAAAAAATTAAAAGGACTTAGGGGTATAGCTCAGTGGTAGAGCAACATCTGTATTCAATTTCCAATAACACACACACACACACACGCGTTCACCAGGATGACTGCCCACAAGGTTTAAAGCACAGATATGTCAGTCAAATAGTTTTTGGAGCTATCAAATCAGAAATAAGAGGGTGAGAGTGTACCTCTGGGGTAGATGCATGAGGTTCTGAGTTTAAACCCTAGCACCATAAACAAACAACTCCCCACCCCCGAAAGAAGCACACTCACAGTAAGAAAAAGGCTCCAATAAGGAGCCACATTCTGTTTACATTTTGTGATCCTCAGGCTTATTTTTACTATAAAATATTGAAGATCATTCATTTATAGTTAGCCGAGGACAAGAGAACATGAGGGAAAACATGCGTTTTTGCTGTCAAAAACCATGCATTTCGCCAGGCATGGTGAGGCACACTCAGGAAGCTAAGGCAGAAGGATCGAGAGTTCAGCAATTTAGTGTGGCCCTAAGCAACTCGGAGAGAACGTGTCTCTAAATAAAACACAAAAAAAGAGTTGGGGATGTGGCTCTGTGGTTAAGTGCCCCTGGGTCTGATCACTGTACCAAAAAAAAAAAAAAAAAAAATCATGCATTTTTTGTTATCAATTAGTTTTTAATAACTCATTAGCTTTGATGAAATACATCCCATTTAATCCAAAGTGAATTAAAAAAAGAGGTTAAAGTTATGTGAAGCTCTGCTAGTTTGGCAGGACTGGCCTGGCACCTAACCAGGAAAGGTAAAAAAAGGTCAAATGAGTTTCCCACTGTGGCCAGGAAGTGGTTTGTGTAAAAGCTGGATTGGAGGACTTATTTGGTGACTTCTCAGTCATTCAGCTGTGGCCAAACTGAAACCCCGAGATGTACCCCTGACACCCTGAGAGTGGAAGCCCGAGGAGCTGAACCCCCCAGAACATTCATTCCCTTCCCTGGGAGGTGGGCAGGAAGTCACACAGAAAGACAGACAGACCAAGTCATGTTCTAAGAGGCCAGTGCCTTAAGGAAATAAGATGTTAGGAGACCAGAATTTTTCTATTTTTAAAACATTTTATATAACTCATAAAACAGTGCTTGTATAAAAATTCACACAAAGTTGCTAGAGAGCATACAATTTCCAAAAATGTCGTGGGTTTTTGTTACATTCAGTTTTCTAAAGATGCACTCAATTCAATGGTAATATGCAGACATTATGCGATATTTCATTATCTTTGGTAAAACTATTCTCATTATTTTGTCTCCTCACAGTATTAACTCTGATATCCGCTTTGTGCAGGGTCTGCTCTCACTAGGATGTCAGAAAACATTAAGGCTGGATCTACTAGAGGCAAATGTTCCCAACAGCAGGGACACCCCTGGCCCCCAACTCCACTTCAGAATCGTCACCACAGCCAGACAGGGCAAGAGCTCAATGACCTCCAACCAGGGGTCTCAAGAACCCTTGGGGGGGGGGGGGGGTGGAAACTGAGGCCATCTCTACAGGAACCCAAGTGGCCATGCTGCGGTGTGGTCAGGCAGCAACGCTTACCAACTCTCACCATTTTAACAGCCAATCCAGTCACCACTAAGTAGATCCCATTGGTTGGTTGATAACTGCTGCTGATATGCCCCCTAACTTGAAAGGAAAGCAAGGTTTGGAGCCAACACTGAAGGGGGAGGGGCACACTAGCGCTAGTGACACAGACACCACTTGATTCCCTGTCAAACTTCTGTCGTCATGTAGACACGGCCATGTGAACTGAAGCAGGATCCGAACACTTAGTACATTCATGACTATCTTCATACATTCTTCAACAACTTACTAACAGAGAAAACCATGACCACTACCACCTACCGTGACTTACTATTTTACTTAACGTCAGAATGTGTCTGTGCTAATTCTTTAGTCCTTGGGATACAAGGCAGAAAATAATCCAAAACACAAACAAGTAAAAACCAAAGAATTAAGATGGGGAGAAGGATGGGGTGATGCCAACAGATTTTATGGAACACATTAAGTTCTGAAAAAATTAAGTATTTGTACTTCTATTGCTTCATGTAAAAAAAAAAAAAAACATGCCCACCGGAGCCACCTGTATGGATGCAGAAGTGAGGACACCATACAGACAGAACACAATCCAGGGGACAGGAAACGCTCCCAGAGTGTGTCCACCTCTCTTCACTGAAAGGGACTGTAGGATATTGGGGGTCGGGGGGTGAGTTACACAAGAAGGGTGTTATAGAAACCACCAAAATATAGTTTCCAAAAATTTAACATGCTCTAGGTAACAAAGAGACATATTTAATTTCTAGAACCTGTTGACTTCAATGTTAAGCAAACAGGAACTTTTCAAAAATTAACAATTGATTGTGCTTCTGAAGTTGCAGGGTCACATTCACCCTCTAGAAAGCAGGGCAATTTTCACATGGCTTGGAATCCTCTTGGATACATCCTAGAGACCAGAAAAAAATTCCATGGGACCCCCGCAACTAGTGGGGCCTGCAGGAGAGTGCCACAGCCATCTTTGGGTAGGGCGCATGCACGTGTGTATGTAGTGGAGAGACTAAGGCAGAAAGAAAAGCCCAAGTGAGCAGGGAAGTGAGTCTGCTGGCTGCCCCAGTTCCTTCACAGGCACAAAGGCAAACGAGTATTCACTGAGGTCCCCTTCATCTCACTTAAGTTTTCTAGTAAGGAGAAGTGTGTGTGTTTGTGTGTATGGGTGCGTGTGACAGAGTCACTAAGTCCCTGTGCATTTTTCAATTCCAAAAATTCAGGTTTGCAGTTTTAACAGAAATAATCTGTAAATGATACTGAAGAGTCATTTTTAAGTGGCTCAAAATTCTGTTATATAAACAAATGTCTACTGAGCGAAGGCAAAATTTATGTCATATAGCTACTGGAACTAAAGTTCTTAACTATATGAGGAAAATTCACAGGTTATTTCTATTATATCTGCATTTTAAGGTAGCAAAATATTAAACCATTAGGGTATTAAATCTGTAACCTCCCACAAGGCTTTATGACTATCCTGTGTGGGTCGATTTCCCAGGTCTCTGGTAAGATGCATCCAGTTTGGGTTAGACTGCTTCCTTTCTTTCTTCAGCATCTGGCCCCCAACATAGGGCAAGTAAAAGTTCTGTCTTTAAAGACGTGACCGGCTGGGGAGTTTCCCAACTGGCGCCCCTAGAGAGCAAACTGCCGGCTTGGAGCAGTGTGACCTTCCCAATCAGTGGGGAGGGGAGAGATGCACACCTAGAAGATAGGGCATGGGCCAGGTTAAGATAGTAGAACCTTCTAGAGGACCCAAAGGGAAAGTTCTGAGTGGACCTGGGAAGGGACATGGGAGTCCCATTTGAGATGACCTGTGCCCTTTCAATATGGGGTATCCTCAAGAGGGCCCCAGGCCTGGGCCTGCCCAGAGGCATAAGGATGCCATGCTAATGGGAGGAGCTATTGCTGAGGTCTGGGGGAAGTCACCACACAGCTCCCAGACCTGCATTTTGTACAAATACCCGCACAGAAAGTAAACAGTTCTTGGTGAACTCAAAGAAGCCCACCCTGCAATCAAACAAGAAGCCAAATGCTCACACACATTATTTTCCAAGAAAATGAATCTGCCCCTCCAATTAGCACCCATGTGTGGAGAGGGAATAGGGGGCCATGGAAGGACACAGCTCAAATGGAGACATTGTGTGAATGTGTGTTTCCAGGTCTATCTACATTCATATCATCATCCAGTGTTCTCATCTACAGAGTGAGCACAGCATTCTACTGACGCGCAGCACATCTCCTTCCCGGGGACCACAGCAGAAGGAAAAACTTACACATCGTCAGAAAGGACTTCATGCTATCCCTATCATCACCTCTACTGCCATCCAAGGGGCATCGAGACTCCTCCAAAATCAGATGTCGTAGACGAGGTCAGTAAAATCAGTCTCTATGCCACCTGAAGCTATGATTACCCATCATGCACAAACATGGCACTTCTAAAAAATTCATAAATCTCTGAATCATCTTTTAAAATCCCAGCAACTGAAATTATCTTACAGTACTTCATCTCAAATACTTAAAAAGATTTTCTAAGTAAAATGGCCCCCAAAGAGCCCAATGATTTTTTTTTAAAAGGGGTTCATTTTAATTAAAAAAAGAAGAAAAAGTTAAAAATGGAAGATGAAAAGTGTGGGGAGAGGAACAGAAGCTGCTGAATTTGCATTTTGGATTGTGAGGGACAGGAAAGGGCACAATCAAGTAGAGAGGACCTACTCGGCTAGTCCCTCTGCTCACAGCCTGGCTCCTCCCAAACTCGGGCTGTGCCACCAGGGAATACAGGACAAAGTCAAGAGACCAAATTCAAGGCTGCTTTCTCATGGGTGGGTGAGTAGGTGTTTACGTGTGCAAATGTAGGAAGCCACTCCCCACTGACATAAGGTGCCTGTCTGTGGATACCATACACATGTTCCAAAGTGACTCGGTCCCAAGGGTGCCCATCGCTCAGCCTTTCATAACCCAAGTCTCTGGGCAGCCCACAGGCCCGTCACTTCTCCACTTTCTTGGCTTTCTTGAGGATGTCGCATTTTTTCCTGTTGGGACGGCGACACCGCTCGTCGATGCTGGGGATACATTCATAATGCCACACCTCCTCCATCTTCTCCACGGGGTACACGGCCTCCACATAATGGCGGATGAGCCGCAGTCGCGTGGGGTCCAGCTGCTTCTTGTTGCAAGCCCCTGAATGGTTGTACTGCAGCCGCAGGTTCTCGGCGGTGAAGAGTTCGGGGAAGAGCCTGACGAGGAGCCGGGCGGCAAAGTTGCCCACGGAGAGGCTCTGCTGCACGATCTCGCGCACCTCCTTGTCCGACAACAGGTAGGGAGAAGGCACCGGGAAGTCGGGTGAGGGGACCACCAGCTCGTCCAGGGGGATCTTGCAGAAGTCCTTGCTGCTCCTTTCGGGGGGCAAAGGGGGCCCCTCAAACTCCTCTCGGAACCTCTCGGGGTTGATTGCATAGCTTGCCAGGTCTCTGCACTCAGGGCCTGGCACGTGGACCTTGCGCTGCTGCTGGTAGGAGCGCCTCTGCTCCGTGTCCCGGCGCCTGCAGCGCTCGTCCAGCTTGCCCACGAACTCCAGAGTCCAGACGCGGTCATTTTTGGCCCGGGGGTAGAGCAGCTGCACGTAGTGGCGGATCAGCTTGATGCGGGCGGGGTCCAGCTGCTTCTTGCCCAGGGAGCCGCTGCAGTTGTACTGCTTGCGTAGGTTCTCGTGGGTGAAGAGCTCCGGGAAGAGGTGCACCAGCAGGCGGGAGGCGAAGTTGCCAATGGACAGGCTGCTCTCGTAGATGCTGCGCAGCTGCTCCTTGCTGAGCAGACAGTCGGCGCCTGGCACCTCGAAGTCCGGCTGCGGAATCTCCAGCTTGTCAAAGTCAATGGGCACTAGCCAGATCTTCTTGGAGCGCCTGCCCGGCCTCTCACCCTCGAAGCTGTCCTCCACCTTGACCACGGAGAGGTCATCGGGCAGGCTGGAGGAGTCGTAGCAGTCATCCCGCGGCGTCTCGCCCTCGCTGCCGCCCTCCAGCCCCAGGCCCTCCAACTCGTCGTTGATGCGCTGCGCGCACTGCTGCAGCCAGGCCTCCTCTTCCTGCATGTCGGGAAAGTAGATCTCCGTGTAGTTGCGGATGATCTGCAGCCTCTGCGGGTCCAGCTCCTGCTTGCCACCGTCGCCATAGCAGCTGTACTGCTCGCCCAGCTTCCGGTGGTCGAAGAGCTCGGGGAAGACCCGGTGGAGGAGGAAGACGGCGAACTCACCCGGCGAAGAGGCTTCATCCAGAAACTCGGTGAGGTCCTGCGTGTCCACCACGTGATCTGAGGCGATGGTGCTGCTGCGGTCCAGAGACAGGGCCTCCTCCTGGTCCTTGCTGTCCAGGAAGTGGCCGGCGTCCACCTGCTCAGTTTCAAAGAAGCTGGTGACCTGGCCTCCTGGCTGGCTGTCCTCCATTTCCCGCTGGGCCCAGAAGCGGCTGAAGAAGTCGTTCAGCTGCGGCAAGCACTCAGCCTGCCACACAGCAGTGTCCTTCACTGACGGGTAGTAGACTTCCACGTAGTTGCGGATGAGCTGCAGGTGCAGCGACTCCAGCTTCCGCTTGGCTGCAAAGCCGCAAGCGCTGCAGCCGCGGGAGAAGTCCACGTCGCTGAAGAGCTCGGGGAAGAGCTGTACCAGCAGACGGCAGGCCAGGTCCCCGCCTGATAGGCTCTGGTCCACAATCTGCTTGAGCTCAGCAGCGGTGAGCTGGTACTCGGGGGGTGGCTGGAATTTGGCCACCAGCTCGGAGGGGCTCACCTGCTTCTTGATGCGGCTCACTTCCAGGGAGAGCAAGTCCACCTTGCTGTGCAGCTGGGACATGTTGGAAGTGAGAGTGTTGAGCATGTAGAACATCTTCTGGATCAGAAAGTAGATGTTGGGGTCGCCGTCAGTGGCTGTTCCTGATGCCCCGCCACAGTCCCGTTTCTGAGGGTCGTTCAGCAGGCGCAGAGGGGAGGGACTGTTGCTGGCGTTGGCCTTCTCGAAGAGCTCATAGGTGTTGAGCAGGTCCCCCACGGGAGGGTTCTTCTTCTCCATGATCTTGTGCGAAATGCCATAGAGAGGCTTCTTGTAGGAAGGGGTGGTGGTATCGTTGCAGGGCTCCTCCTCCCCCGGCCACACGGAGCCCACATTCCTGCCTCGGCCGGCCTGCTCTCCGTTGCCCTGGCAGGGCGAGCTATTTTCGCGGTTCCGCATGCCTGCGAGGAGTGCCTGGAAAACAGAAAGCGTTTCCTAGAGTGTTAGGCAGGTGCTCTGACTTACTAGGCTGGACTCAGGCCAGCCACCCGGTCTGCTATGGTCAATGCTCCCCTCCCCCAACCATTAACACACAACAGTAACACAACTGCATGCCAGGGCCAAACCTGCTTGTTCTCTCCAATCCCTGAGAAAGGGCTCAGGCTGGAAGGTGCACACTCCTTCGGGACATCAGTGCTGCACTTCCTGTCCACAGGGCCCAACAGGAGAAAGAGCACGGATGCTGGCAAGGCCAGAAGAGGACTCTTCAAGGGATGGGAGGGAGAACTTGGGAATGAGGATCTCCAAAGATCCCAATAATTGAGGCCAAGCTGCATCACCACTTGGGAACCCAAAGTTCCTACTATTTTTCTCAGTGGTTTTTAGACTCTAGAAGTTTTAAGAGATCTGCTTCTCTCTGTTTGTAGGACTAGTGATTTGTTACAAAGATTCAAAGGCAATTTGGTGGAGAAAGGATAGTCTTTTCAACAAATGATCCTGGGCTGGGGATGTGGCTCAAGCGGCAGCGTGCTCGCCTGGCATGAGTGCAGCCCGGGTTTGATCCTCAGCACCACATACAAACAAAGATGTTGTGTCTGTCGAAAACTAAAAAATAATAAATAAAAATCTCTCTCTTTAAAAAAAAAAAAACAAAAAACAAATGATCCTGAATAATCTGATATCCATATGTAAAAAGAATATCAATTTTAATTTGAGCCTCAGACTATGCACAAAATTAACTCGAAATGGATCATGAACCTAAATTAAAAACCTAGAATTCTAACATTCCTAGAAGAAAATTTATGAAAATTCCTTTGTGACCAGTTGTTTTAGACCAACATTTTTAGAACACCAAAAGCACAATCCATAAGAGAACTGATGCACAGGACTTCAGCAAAAATAAAAACTTCTGCCCTTTAAAAAATACTTCAAAAAAATTTTAAGACTGGGCTGGGGCTGTAGCTACGTGGTAGAGCACTTGCCTTGCACATGTGAGGCACTGGGCTCAATCCTCCCCACCACATAAAAGAGGGAGGGAGGGAGGGAGGGAGGGAAGGAAGGAAGGAAGGAAGGAAGGAAGATTTCATTCTCCCCCACCAAAATACTTTTTAATAATTTAAAAACTACAAACAGCTGGGAGCCATAGCACACATCTGTAATCTTAGCGATTTGGGAGGCTGAGGCAGGAGGATGCAAATTCAAGGCCAGACTTGGTATAATTAAAAAGGCAATACCAAGTGCTGCAGACGATGGAAGGAAATGAAGCTCTCATACCCTGCTGATGGGGACAGCATGATATAACCACTTTGAAAAATAGTTTAGCAGTTTCTAAAAAAGTTAGCATTAGATGTACCATATAAACTAGGTATTCCATTCTTCAGTATCTGTTTACCAAGAAGAATAAAAAGCACATATCCACTTGAAGACCTGTACACAGGTATTCCAGGCAGTCCTATCTGCAAATAGATAAAAACTGGATACCACCCAACTTTTTATCAACAAGTATATAAATAAACTATTATATTCATACAATAATAGAATACTATTCAGCAATAAAAAGCAATAAACTGACCTGTATAGTAGACAGAGTAGTTAGAATAGATCTCAAAATAACTATGCTAAATGAAAGAAACCACAAACAAAAGAAACCATACCATATGATTCCATTTATATAAGATTCTAGAAAGTACAAACTTACCTATAGTGATAGAAAGCAGAACAGTGGTTGCCTAAGGGTGGCAGGAAAGATACAAAGGGACATGAAAGAACTTCAATAGGCGATGGATATAATTATAATTATTATCTTATTGAGGTGATGGTGTACTGGCACACTATACACATGTCAAAACTTATCAAATTGAATACTTTAAAAGGTACTAGTCGTACTTCAGCTATGTTTCCTAATAAACCTATTTTTTTTTTCCACAAATGCTGAATTTGACCCAGAAACTTACTGGAATGTTTGTGAGGGTTTAATTAAGCAGGAGAGCTAATTAGTGAGCACTGGTAGGTGTCAGGGGAGGTGCAGGACTGAAGCACAAAGCCCAGGCTTCCACAAGCCTCAGGCAAGTGGAGACCGGACAAGAACAAAGTGCACCCTAGGATGCTACTTCCACACCTGGGAAAAATACAGTTAGTGTGGCCTAGCCCAGTGCGCCTTCAATTCTAATATCCACATGAATCACCTGGGTTCCTGTTAGAATACAGACTGAAATCTCTGGGTCTGCTGTGAGGCACTGAGGCTCAAATTAAAATTGATATTCTTTTTACATATGGATATATCCTCCCAGGTACTGTGGGTCCTCTGGGAGTGGTAAGAGCCTGGCAGACAGTGTCTGCCCGCGGTTCACCTCACCCAGGAAGATTAGAGTCACTTTCAAGTGTTCAGGTAACTAATGCCCACACAAATCTGAACATAAGGTGTTTTCTCTGTAGCCTAACCAAATGTTGGGGAAAGAGACAAGCTGAGAAGGTGGGGTTTATAATGGCAGGGAAGCAATTTAGCCAGGAGAGCAGGGGACCCAGGGCAAAACAGACCACAGGGTCACACAACAAGAATTTGAGTCTTCTGAACTCTTACACTTTGGTTCTCACTTAAATTAATGAACTACTTCCTGGATCTGCTTTTATCTTTTTGTTTTATTTTGCTATGTTGCCCAGGCTGGCCTTGAACTTTCCATCATCCTGCCTCAGGCTCCTTAGTAGCTGGGATTACAGTTCTAAGCTACCATGCCCAGCTCTGGACACTCTCTTTAAAAAAAAAATTTTTTTTTTGGACATTCACTTAGATAAAACAATCATCTGACTCACAGTAAAGAAAGGCTGTTTTCTTCACTGATTACAATCATTCCAAATAAAGTCTACTACACTCTCTTAGGAATCTGAACATGAAAGGATTCTCAAAAGTGTTTTAACTATTCCAAGGAACTGGCCAATACTTTCTTCATGGTGGATCTGTAGAGGCTAAGGAAGGGTCGGTACCATCCATCCCACATGATCTTTCTGCACACACACCCCCTTCCCAAGAGCAGAGGGCTAGGGACATACTTGGATGGAGGGAGCCTGGCATGGGTGGCCTGCAACCCATCCTGCTCCCTCCTGTAGTCACCTCCTCCTCATGGGAAAGCGTGAAGGGACCATGTCATTCTTGGTCTATCTGCACTGCCTAGCAAAGTGCCCAGGGCACAGAAGAGGTCACTGAATGTCAACCACAGACAGGGTTGGCTAAAGTAGGACATGGTGTTCTACCTCTCTCAAATACCTGCTTAAGGAAAGGAACACTGGGGGCCAGGGTAGAGCTCAGTAGTAGAGCATCTGCCTAGCATACCAGAAGGCTTTGGGTTCCAACCCCAATACTGTAATAATAATAATAATAATAATAATAAAACAGTGCCACTGGCTTCATGAAACCATGATAGTAAAGAGGTATGAAGGTTTGGATAGGAGCTCAGCTCAATTTTTACGTTGTCCTCTGTGTCTCCTTTCATGTCTCAACTTCTTATCTGTATCTGTCTTAGAAGGTAGTAAGGGCTTTAAAATGAAACACTGCCCATCAGCACTGAGCCCAAGGCTGGGTCACAGTAAGTGCTTAACAAATATCTATCACTACAATAGAATTATAGTGGGCGGGGGGAAGGTATTGGGAACTAATTCTCAGTACTTTACCACTGAGCTATGTCCTCAGTCCCTTTTATTTTTTATTTTGAGACAGGGTCTTATTAAGTTGCTGAGGCTGGTCTTGAACTTGTGATACTCCCACCTCAGCCTCCCCCTAGTCCCTGGTACAACGGGATTACTATTAAACAATGCTATTCATAAGCCACAGCAGAGGTGTGTAACACTGTGGGCCTTTTGTTAATTGGTAAAGGTTCCTCTCAACCAGTCACCAGAGGACTTCCCTAGTGCACTCAGTGTCAAGCTCTTACTGAAGGCACTTCCCTTCTTCCCTTCTCCTGAGGTCTGTTTCCCGGGAGGGCTGGGAAGTGGTGACATACCTGGCAACTGAGCTGAGAGGGGAGTTTAAATTCTTTACAATTCTTTTGTGCTGCTATCTGTCAGAAAGCAGAGAATTATTATTTAAAAAAAAAAAAAAAAAGGCCAGACATGATGACAAGCACCTGAAGTCTCAGCGGCTAGGGAGACTGAGGCAGGAGGATCACTTGAAACCAGTCCAGGCAATGCAGTGCTCATCTCAAAAAAAAGAAAAGAAAGGAGAAGGAAAAACAGCAAAAAAACAACAACAACAACAAAAAAAAAACCCACATATACCCCAGAAACAAGAAGAGGCCAAGAGAGCTAAAAAGCTTTACTCATAATGCAATGTGGGTTTTTTTGTTTGTTTGTTTGTTTGTTTTTTTGTACTGGGGATTGAACCCAGGGGCACTTAATTGCTGAGCCACATCCCCAGCCCTTTCTTTTTCTTTTCTTCTCTCTCTCTCTCTCTCTCTCTCTCTCTCTCTCTCTTTTTTTTTTACTTTGAGCAGGGTCTCACTAAGTTGCTGAGGCTGGCCTCAAACTTGCAATCCTCCTGCCTCAGGCTCCTGAGTTGCTGGGGGTTACAGGCATACATCACCATGCCCAGCTTACAATGGGTTTTGAATTGTGGGTTGGTATATAATAAAATCGATCTGGTGAAGTCATGACTAGCATAAGAAAGAGAGAGCAAAGAAGTAAAAACATTAAAGGGAAGAAGAAAGAAAAAAAAGTAGAATAGGAAAACAGTACATTGTACAAAGTTTTACTTCATTTCTCTGTGTGTATCTATACATTTACATACAAATACATGTGAGCTGTACTACTCTGAAACTGGATTTATAACTATGGGTACTGCTGAAAAGCACTGCCCTAACAAAATCAGAGTTGTCCTTCTTGCTAACTTTTGTAGACAAAATTAGATTTGCAATTGTTCACGATAGGTTCTATCACATCAAAATAATTTTGGAGGTTCTGTGGATTATGAGATTATGATGTGGTTT